CACTTAAGACCAAGCTTGGGCTCCTATGGAAAAACCTTTAATGGATGTTTTAATTTATATGTAAGTGAAAACTGATTTCGAAAACTCCAATACTTCTGGTAAGACATATATATCCCTTTCACTTTATAATGATAAAACAAATGGAATATATCATCTACCATTCCCTACTGCTTTATTGCAGTGCCCTGAGAGTACTTGTCGGGCTGTTTAAATATTGGTGTATTAAGCAATAGATTCGACTTACTCTAATGTATCCCAGACATTGTCAAAATGATTATTTTTGTGACCTGCAGATCTAGGTCATGTGTAAGGTAAAAAAAAACAAATAAAGTATTTACGTCAAAAGATATTGAGAACGTACAAAAATGTGTACGAGTGCATACTTTCCATTGGAAATCGGGGTGCATACTTTTACGATCGAATTTGAAAGCAATTGTGTCAATATTAGCACTTTTGCAATCGTCAGGAATGATCGGAGTTTTAGATCATTGTTTATTTGTCTTCGCGAAGAAAATTCGTGGCTTCTTGTTAGTGCAGTGAAAGGAACACATATGTAGAAAAAAAAATAAGACCAAGAAATAATTTCTATACACGACATTAAGCCAAAAAAAAATCAGTCTAATTGATGACTGTTGAATAAAGATAAATAAGAGGGAGCGGTGGTGACGATATATAATCCGATCTGTTAATTGATTCTTCTGTGGAATTGGGTTCAAATGGTTAAAATGATACAGGGAATAGTAATTGAACAATTGATTATACATGTAGTGCTACCAGATTCCAAATACAGTCAGGGTTTGAAGTTAAATGTATAGTACAAACTGCTCTAACCTTGATGTGAATTGACCCAACCCTTTAGACGAATTCTGATGAAAACGCTTGAATGATTTTCAGAAAGTTTTTTATTCTAGATGTTCAAGTTGCCGAGTGCATATACATGCAATCCATAATTTAACATTTATATATCCATGTAGTCCCCTTGTTCATTAGTGCAAACTCGACTTATATAATTCATAGCAGTGGCTAGTGCATATTTTAAATATCGGGGGATATGTATAATAGAGGACTTAAGAAATAGGAAAGATAATTGAAAGTAGGTAGTGGCTATAGTGCCTATTTTCAATATCGAGGGATGCGTATAATAGAGGACTTAAGAAATAGAAAAGATAAAAACCTGAGATCTGCATTTCAATCAGTGAAATAATAGAACATCAGTTGATAATAAGATACTGTATGGATGAATGATGTGAAAACCATTTAAATTGTAATCTCAGTGTTACAATGAATGACACCCAAAAATTCTAATGTGCAGTAACTTTATATACATACACTGTACGACTCTAATGAACTATGATGACCTAGTCGCTGATTCCTCTATTTTAAAAGTGATCTATGAAAGAAGGTCTTTCTGAAAGAAACATGTTTGTTGTTTGTTTAGACAAGATGCTATAAAGTTTCTTGCAATATATATTTTTTTTACATTTGTTAGTTTAGCGAACACACGCGCACCATGTCAATAAGGAATAGCTGAGAATAGGTTTGTTACTGTAAAGTACAGTTTGAATTTAAGCATCCTTCAAGTTCAAGTGAGGAAACCTTCCTTTTAGCCCATTCAAAAAATGACAACTTGGCGCGCGTTCCCAATACAATATGTGTGAAGCAGTGTTGCCAGGTTGGTGCTCAAATGTACTATTCCATTTTCTAAACAGTATTCCATTCCCCATCTTTGAAGATTTGGGTTACTAATAAAAGTATCTAAAGCAAATTGAATGGATTTAAAGTCTAGGCGTAACGAACTTCTTGCTTAGTTACGTCAATCATAGGCGTAGGAGCTCAAAGTAATTCAGGGGGGCATAAGAGAAAATTGCCCGAAATCAGTACCGTTTTTTCGGGCATACCTATCATAAGAGAGCTTCGGGCATATTTTCGGGCATGCAGTGGACAAGAAAAAGACGAGAAAATACTTTTCGGGCAGTGTGGATCTCATAGAAATAAGTTAGTTATATTTTTTCTCTAAACGTTAATAGAAAAAAAAGGTCGTCGAATTTTTCATTGCCCGAAAATAAAAAAATAAAAAAAAAAATTTTTTTTTGGGGGGGGGGGCATTGACGTCAATGCCCAGAATTCTGCGAAATGTCACCAAGATCAAATCCCTGGCACATACTAGGTTTCAACCAAGAACGGTGATATCAAACTAAAGAACAGTTAAATTCCAGGTTAACAATTCGATCATCAAATAAAATTGCAGCCAATTGGGTTTTTACACAAGCCCCCAATTTGTGCCTTTTCAATAAATAAAACATGTATTCATATTATTGAACCGCCTTCATTAGCCCACTCGGAGGAGAACTGGACGTTAAACCCTACCTCATTTCATTTCATATTATTAAAAAGACCTTTTTTGATTTGGCAACATATATTTTAAAAATGAATTCGTATTTGCTGTCGACAGATGTTTGAAATGCATATCAAAACTAAAAGTAGAAAACATAATCCCAAGAATTCCATGTTGATCAAACATAATATGTATTATTCAAATAAAGATTAATGAGTTCTGTGTTCACTGTATGTTGTGTTATTGTGACCTCATAGACGAGTAAACAGGGTTCTTTCAGGTTTTAAACCCAATATTTGTATCAAATTCCTCCCAGGATTAAGCCAGCATATAAGAGAATTGTTTATTTTGTAAATAAAATGCGTACACGTATATGCATCAAGAATACATGTCCCCGTATCGTTTTATAATGCTACCATTTAGTAATGAAAGAAACATATTTCATTTGAGAAGGGGGTGGGGGCAAAGTGGCTGTGGGTAAGGATACTAACTATAATGTCCCGTTTATAATCCCGTCATTGACCGATAAGAACCCTCGAGAATATTTTCCCAACCCGGTTTCCACTTGTCAGGGATGGCAAGTCCTTGTGGGGGAGAATTGAGAAAACCCCAGGTGCCTTAGACAAACTGACAATGCACGTAAAATATCCCTTGGAAGTCGGAGAAAAAGTCACTATTCGGGTAAAATTCTTGCACTGCACACAGTTTTGACAATTCTGTAGAGGTATAACCACCGAGAATCAGGGCCGTAACTAGCTCAGAACAATGAGGAGGCTGGAAGTGTTCTCGGGGGTGCTGTAAAATTGACGGACAATGTATATCTATTGTTTTTATGGTCGGCAATTTTTTCCCGGGGGGGGGGGGGCTGGGCGCGAAACCTTTTGCGCCCCCTGCACCCCCTTAGTTACGGGCCTGGCGAGAATGTGGCGTATAACTTATCGCGAGTGAAGTGTTTTGGGTGTATTTGTGCTTCCGTCGTCTTTTTGTCCTGAAAATACCTGGATCTGCATTCAGATGGAGCTAGAAAAGTGTTCGCTCATGCCCATTTAATTACCCACTAAGGAAGTTCCGGCATCTTAGTTTTAAGGAGGCTTGAAAATAACTTGTTTTTTTAGTGACCAAATGGTAGCAATATGATAGGGTAAAGAAAAGCGAACCAATTTTGTGAAGTTAATACTGTATACATGATGTCAAGATTGGGGAATAATTAACACTGACGAAACTTCATTTACTGACATGCCTCGATAATGCATAGAAAATAAAACTGGGGATGTCAAAAGACAATGAAAATAACCCACAAAAGTATGTTCTCTATAGAACATTAGCTATCTATTAATGGTGGTAAATCTGGGAAGAAAATCAAGTCAAGGTAAAAGAGGTAAGCGTCAATGACCTCTGGGTTTACTAGTATGGTATGCACAACATTGACGAAGAGATTGTGTGGCTTTTAGGATCATGGTAACCCTTTCTACAAATGCTACTAAAATATTTTTACCAATACTTGATAATCATCCAAAACCAGATGATGCACGAGCAGCCGTTATAATGACTCTTAAAAGTACATTTTGTTCTGGCGGCTACTCGTGCTTATCAACAATTGTCTAGGAAATATTTTTGGGTTAAATCTAGGAGGTTATGTTACGTCAAAACTACACCCAAACGTGAAAGTAAATCAAAGGCTGTTAGCTACGTGAAAGTTAGATGCAATATTTGTAGCCGTGATAATTCTTATCAATAGCTACAATTGATACACTATTCGAGGCTTTAAGCAAGTAAAATTAGGTTCAATTGCAAAATTTTCAACACCTACCATCACAGTTTGCACGGAAATAAGTAATTATGTTACAAATAGTGAAGAGTGGAACACTGAAATCTTAATCTTATCTTACCGAACAGTTTTTCTGTATTTTCGAGTAACATGAAATCACGTGACTCTCGTTCGGCGACAATTTTAAAATGAACAGAAATTTCGCAGAGCAGTTGGGTTTAATCAAATCATATAATTATGCGGTAAGGTTTCGCCTTTATTTCAATAGGAATTGGTTCATTATATGTTAAGCTATGTACAGTACGGTTTGGGGTCAGTGTACTTGGAAATTAAGGGAGTTATAGGCCAGTAACTTTTGACTACAAAACTTGCTCAAAAGAAGGCCTTTGGGCGGTCCACTACTGTGGCTGGAGCAAGACGGAAGACATCAGTAGTGGAGCCATTTCTACGTGAAAGTAAATCAAAGGCTGTAAGCTACGTGAAATTCTCGGCACAATACGATTGTATGATATTCAAATTCAAAGTTTGATCTGTATAATTGAACGACCCGTCTTCATTAGCCCAGTCGTTGCAGACAAGTGGGACGTTAAACCCTATTTCATTTCTTTATTTTAAAAAAATCCATTAAAATCCCAAACATGGCCCGCCACATTTAGGGTAACTTACGTTATGAACCCGAAATGATGGACATTAAAGTACGTAATAAACACAATCATTAAAAAGGGAATCATGAATGAATATGTGTATTTGCCTACTACGCTCAATGGGTGTTTCAATAATATACGATTTCTCGTCTTTTTCTCAAAATATATGAATTATTATGAAACTAAACGGAATATATAAAAAAATTAAAGATACTTTCGAGAGATGCCTGTTTTAAATCTATTCTACGCTTACCTTTCCACGTAAATCTTTACCTCTGAACCGTTAATATCACAGAATACATCCGAGAGATCTAAAGCACATCATTTATTTTTCCAGTCGAAAACACTGTTAAGGTCTCTTAAATATTGAGAATGAAACCACACAAAACGAAACAGAAAAAAAAAGATGAATCAAATTTGAATTAACTCCTTATCCGGTTATTTAAGAACTAAATGGCTCCACTTCAAAGATATGATTCCAAAAACAATCTTCATGTGAGTAAACTTGTTTCTACTGCTGAACTTTTGTCGATTATGACCTTGTTCAATTTTCACAAGAACACCAAGTCACATAAGAATTTAGTTTTGTGCACAATCAATAGCCTTAGCCCAAATAGCAAATATGTTGATCTCCCACATCGAACATCGTGTGTACAATGATCATTACTGCATGACAATCAAGAACAAATTGGCAGATATTCCGTTTAAAGATATGTTAAACACCATTTGAAAAAATTGAAATCTACTTTGTTTTTCTTGAACTTTTGCTAGAAAACGCATGAAATGTAAACATAAACGGTAGATTTGATTTGCGAATTATATTTGACATAAAGCGAGCAGTTGTATCCTTGAAGATAAAAAACACCCTCATTCAAGCACAGTTAGAAAATCTTTGTCATTCTAAGCAAGGGCAAATCCGGAGTTACAATCGCTGAACTATGTTTGCTGAAGTATTGAGGACAACTTTCATTCACGGTACTTAGCAATAGTATTTTATGGTTCGTCGCTAATCAGTATACAAGACAGTATCTGGACGGACATGCTAAATGACTTTAATGCGGGTACAGAGTGACGAAATGACAGGTCCGTCTGTTGGCACGATATCACTGACACCTGATTATTCGCTCTACCTTTCAATTCAAATATATCCCAGATAGAGTCTTAAAAATCAAAGTAAATTGTCTGTAGATTTGGCTATGGAGAAGGGAGACAAATAACTAAATATTTACTTGTAAAGAATCATCTGGGCACACTGTCTTGGCTTAGCCAATGGGCTCGAATAGTAAGATCAATGTTTGGTAAACAGATAAAGAAGAATTTTCGAGGGTAAAGAGGAAGTAATAGGAGCATCGTTCTCGGTCAAAATGTTCTTTTATCGTTTTGTTCAACAGTAGACATCTTTGTTTTACATCGTGTCAACACAATCGTGAAGTCGTGGAATAGCCAGTCTAACGAATCTTTAGTCCTTTCTGGTTACACATTCGGCCCTTATAGGTTTAACTGTGCGAGAGGATGTTCTTTAATCAAATTGACAAAACTCGTGTCACTTTCGGTCGATCAAGTGTTAATAGACAGTATCAGCTAATTTCAAACTGTTTATTATGGTCTGTCAATTTGCACCGCTGAATACAAGAAATATTTATTTATAATTCTAGAAATTCGCTTGTGGTTAATTGAATAATTTCTATGAGTTTACTCCCATGAAAAAACACAACCCCCAGTCGAAACATAATCAAACTGATTTTGTTTTTCATTTTTTCGAAGGGATATTGAATATCTTTAGAAAATTAAATTACGTTTAGAAGGCGTGGCCGCTTAGAACCATATCTGACACGGAAACATGGCTTGAGTGAATCGAATTTAGATCCCCGGACAGTTTGCAGAACAGAGTTCTCGATTCGCATAAAACAGTATGATGTTGCAAGTTATCTAGACTGTTGTTCGCCATACATTATTAGCCAGTTCGACTCTACTTAACTTTATTCGATCGTTAAAATATGGCTAAACAATGTTTGTACAACACAAAATAGTTACCGAAGTGTTTATTGATTAGTTTTTATAAGATATTTTGGTCGACGTTTTTGGGATGTCTGTTATTTTGAATCCAGGCGGCTTTTTTCTAAATTTGGAACATTTATTTTTGTTGTTGGTGTGCCTGTTTTAGAATTTATACACATATAGCCCAACTAAAAATGTCCACAACCTTGATATACCATATTTTGCACTATTTGCGTGTAACGGTGATATACTAAAACGATTTTTTAATCGGTGATATATTAAAACGATTTTTTTAATCTGATAAAAATTATGACCTCTATAAGATAAAGCGCGATTTTTCGTACAATTAGGAACCATAATTCAGGAAGTTACGATCCGATATGCGCCAATATCGAAAGGAACCAAGATCTTTGGGATATAAACATGTATTCCAAGTTTCCTCAAAATCGGATGAAAATTGTGACCTCTAGAGGGTCCACAACCTTGATATACCATTATATATTTGCGTACAAGGAGCGGCCATTTTGGTCCGATATTCACGAATTTCGAAATCAACCATCATTAGGGTGTAACGGTGAAAATGAAATGAAATGAAATGGGGTTTAACGTCCTACTGTTCTGCTCCTAACCTGGGCTAATGAAGATGGGCATACGCCATACAGTGTGCTATGAGGGAAATTTTGCCCGGACAGCGGCACTATGGCCTACTCTTATATCAAATTCCAACTGCCAAGGGATCTTTTACGTGCACGCCAATGTGTACACGGGACCTCGGTTTTTCGTCCCATCTGAACGACTAGACAGCTTTCCTTGTCAGCCCCTCCGTCCTGCATCACTGACAAGGGAGAACCACGCCGGAAAATCTGGATGAACTTTCTCGGCCAATGCAGGGATCGAACACCCGACCTCCAGGCTAGGGTGTAACGGTGATATATTACAACGGTTTTATAAATCGAATAAAAATTGTGACCTCTAGAGGGCCCACTAGCTAAAAACGTGATTTTTCGTACAATCAGGGGCCATAATTCAGGAAGTTACGATCCGATTTGCACGAATATCGAAAGGAAACAAGATATTTAGGTTATAAACATGCATTTCAAGTTTCATCAACCGGTAGAGTGTCCACAAACAAATTGTGGACGGACAGAGGCGACGACAATATAGTCCACATGAAAATGTGGGCATATAAAAAGTCTACTTCCTTTTGTTCATGTTGTTTCAGCCATATCATCATTTAAAGTTGCGCAAAATATGGTATATTATTTTGTGCATGTTGGATCAATATATAAATCTAATTAGCGGATCCTTCAAAACACAGTTTTGACCAAATTGTGACATTTTCCATGGAGTAGATTTTAGGGGGACAAATGCACAGATGTGGATTATATAGCATCTATTCTCATGATCATGCCATCTAAATTTCATTGAGGCATTTCATTGAAAGTTTGACTATTGTCTAATTGCTATGTGTACAGGTGGTAACAGTTGTCAGATCATGAAACTGGAATAACAGTATGCTGTGAGAGAAAAAGCTCAAGTTCAAGGTTATACTGAGACAGATATACTGGAGATTATAAACATAAGTTAAAAGACAGCACACAGCCATTAGGAATAAAATGTCCTTTATTATAGGCAACAAATTTCATCCATGTAAAGATAATAACAAAGTTGTGTTTAGTGAATGTTTCTCCTATTATAATAGTACTTATTGCACATACATGTATATACCGTAAAAGCTACATATAAAATTGAATTAATGTCTTGAATGGCTATGATAATCAATTTTCCTTTTTAATTGACTTTTTCTTTTTACTTGTTTGTACCCTGGTTGATTTTTTTCTATCTATATCAATTTCATCACCAAAAATCTGAGCAAAATGAAAGTAAAGTAGAAAGAAGAGAAAATGTGCACAAGAATATGATGATATAAGTACTGGAAATAGGTCTGGTAGTTGTGGAGGAGGAATAATAAAATGACTGGCACCAGTTAGTAATATGACTCCAACCATTGATATAATAAACTATAATAAAGAAAAACAAAATAATAAGATACAGCGAGATAATCTCTATATAATTATAACTTTAATTTCAGTTTTCAAAATTCTTAAACACAAAATATCACAGCAATGTAGAAGAGCCTGACACCAAGGGCTCCTAATTGTCGGGAGTAGTGTCTGCTGGGCTGATGAGGAGAGAGAGTGAGAGAGAGAGATGAGGTTTACCCTTCACTTAACACAAACTAGGTCATTTCGGGACATATGGTTCAATTTTATTTCAATAATTTGCTTGCACATAGGGGTATTTAGCAGAGGGAGGAAACTGGAGGACCCGGAGAAAACCTACGAGGTTGGACAGGCGACCCTACTCCTTGTCACGTATAACCGGGGATTTGAAACCACGCCAGATCACTCAATGACAGACCTTATGATACAGCGTGCACATGCTAACCATTCGGCCATTCAACCCCCCCGATCAGTAAAGTTTTTCCTAGTTGTTCGGATGGCATAAAAAACTGTACAAACCTATAACTTACATTTATTTTTTTCAGTTGTGATAAACTATCTGGTTTTTGGTTATTAAAAGGTTGAGATATATAAACAGATGCAATCAAAAACATCGCTGATAAACCAATATACGGTAAAATTAATCCATCTTTTACTAACAGAGGTAGCATACTGAAATATACATCATAACAACAAAAAGTAACTAATAGCTGGTTCAAAGTACAATTAAAACTACCAATTTTAGTGTTATGCAACCTAGTTTTTTCATAGGTTGGCTCAATAATCAGATATCACCTTCCACAGATACACTAGTATGACTTAAAGGAGCATTAGGTAAGATTAGATAAAGAACTGACAGTTCTCGCTATAATAGTTAAAAAATAGATAATGTAAAGAGAATATGATAAAAATTTCAGTCAAATTGCTTCACTCTGAAGATATTATTGCTTGAAGTTTAGCCTAGCCTTGATTGTCGTTACTACTGTTAATTAGTAATGTCTAATTAATAATTTATATAACATTTCAGACCCAAAGAAAGACCTGCAATAGGCAGATTTGGCTCTTGCATAATGCATGTTTAATTAATGGTCAGTTCAGTCTGTTGACGCTGTATGGTTATATTACAGTATAATTAAATAATATATACTATTCAAAAAAAGTAGGGGATATTTGATTTTGGGGGCATAATACTAAAATATGCAAATGACTACGAAAAAAGTCACTATAGAACCTAACAGAAGAAACATTTCCAGTTACATGTGACGCCCAAACGCACCAATAGCTACCGCATGGAATGCAGGTGATGCTTGGGATCATCATGGGGGTCCAACCCAAGATTTGCACGACTCTGACTTTGAATGTTACAGTCATTGTGGCATTGAATTCCAGGGTGGAAACATCAGTTTAATTGTTTTAGTGACCAGAAAACAAATTTTGATATGCGTCGGCTTACCCAAAATGAAAGGTTACGTGCCCTTGGCATGCTACAGATAAGCACAACACAGGCGGTTGTGGCGCGGACGATGAATGTTTCTCAGTCTGTCATAAGCAGGCTATGGTCCAGATACCGTGATACACAATCTGTACAGGACAGACCACGCTCAGGTCGACCAAGGGCGACAACTCAAGCCCAGGATCCATTTATCCGTACCTTGGCCTTGAGAAATCGTGTCATCACAGCAAATCAGATCAGCGCTCGTCTTCAAACAGACACTGGTGTGAGAGTGAGTGGCCAGACGATTCGGAATCGACTGCATAGGGGTCACCTTCGCGCCCGACGTCCTCGCGTGATCCCTTGTTTGAGAGATCATCACATTCAGGCAAGACGTCGTTGGTGTAGGGATCGTCAACACTGGGATAATCGACGCTGGAGCAATGTGATGTTTTCAGATGAGTCAAGGTTCACTGTTGATTTTTTGGACAGACGTCGGAGGGTGTGGCGTCGTCGAAACGAGCGCTTCCAAGACGTTAACGTCATCAGACATGATCGATTTGGGGGTGGTTCTGTTATGGTGTGGGGAGGCATCACTGTTGCTGGAAGAACGGCTTTACATGTTGTTGCAGGGCGTGTTACAGGCCAGTACTACCGGGACAACATCTTGGCAGTCCATGTTGTGCCGTTCGCACGACGTCATGACCGCCGTTTCATCTTCCAGGATGACAACGCAAGATGTCACAGGGCCAGGATCGTTACAGGTTACCTCCAACAACAGAACATCACCACATTACCTTGGCCAGCACTGAGTCCCGACCTCTCCCCCATCGAGCATGTCTGGGACATGCTTGGACAGAGGTTACGTCAACGTCAACAACGTCCTGCCAATGTCCAAGAACTTGCTGCTGCGTTGCAACAGGAATGGGACAATCTGGACCAAAATGACCTTAGACGTCTCATTAGGAGTATGCCACGTCGGATCAATGCTTGTTTGGCAAACAGAGGAGGATTTACCCGTTACTGACTTGGTTGTGATGCTGTGGTAACTTTGCTGTTTGACCCCGGGTATCATTTTACCCTTATAATGGTCAGTCTGTGCCTTACTTAGTCTAACGATCATTTGGAATAAATCGATGAATGTGAACTTCATTTCATTTTGTCATTTGTTTCTTCGTCAGTTTCATTAGGTGACTTTAATAACACTTAAAAATCAAATATCCCCTACTTTTTTTGAATAGTATATATATCTTACCTAAATGTAGAAATAGATAAAAACCAAATACTTGTCAATGGTTCTCTATTAGCTAACATACACACAGATCTACAAACAAAATATACAGTACATTATTAATAAAGGTATACGATCTGGCCCACAAATAAAATACTTATTCTAATCATAAATGGCATCATCTTAATTGGTGTAACCCAGGATTTTACTTCAAATACTTAGACTTATTTTATTTACCTCGGACTTGGAAGAGAATTTTTCCCAAAATATGATCAGTTTTAGTATTATCCAAATTTGTATATTTATCTATTATAGTGATTTTACACATAAAAACTATAAATTTAATGGTATTTATTGTGTTTTAATATTAAGCTCTTCAAATTTCTAATTTGCTGGAATGTTAATTTACTGCCAGTAGGTTAAAGCTGGTAAACATGACTAGAATGAGAGCCCTGGTAAGCAGTGTACAAGTCATTACTATGTAGACAGTCAGATTATTGCTAGGATCCTCAAATAACAATTTGAAGATCATGTGTACTATTATTATTAAAGTTAAAAATGACTTACATGGCTGGTATTAAAATAGATTTTTCATGTACTTGAAATGAGAAAAGAAAGAATACCAGTGAAGAATTCACCTATAAACAAACAGAATTTAATGTTATCAAAGAATTCATCTATAAACAAAACAGAATTTAATGTTATCAACTAGTTAGAATAAATATATTGTGTGTATTTCAAAACTTTGGGTATTCTTGGACAGAAAAGAAACCAGGCTTAAAATATAGTGTACAGAAATTTGTTTTAAATCTCTGGTTTATTGGGTGGTAATTTATCAGACAGTTGAAGCAAAGATGGGTTACCTGCCAACAAAACATTCACACAGCAGCTAAGCCATCAGCACAGTCCATAATGAGAGTCACATTATTTAGGTAAATAAACAGTACTTTATAATAACCTGGGCTTATTGACCTTAGGGAATTGGCATGTCATATATGACAGTCAAGGCAATAACTCTATAAGTAAATGAAATTCCATAGGATTCTTTGTTTCACTAGTCTGAATAATGCACATAAATTTCAAGCAGATCAAATAACTTCTGCCTGTCGAAATTGTTGAAATTTAATAAGGCTTCTTCACTTTTCACTTTTAATTTGGGTTTATAAAATGTAAGTTTGATACCATCTTAACCTTGATGTTTGTGGATAGAAATTAGTTATGATTCAGATGTTGACAAACAATTACAAGAAATTAAAGATGGTAGCATCAAATTAAAAGAAAGTAATGTGAAATTAGATGATAATAATTTATGTTACGACTGATCTGCATGTACCAATTTTGTACCAATATGCTTTTTGTTAAGTTCTCTAAATTTGCTGTTTACTCTGGAATATTGCTAATAAAGTACTACATTAATTTCTAGTAAACACATTAATTATTACTGTGTACGTTATACAGTATATACAAGAAATGAAAAGGGATATTTTGTTTATTCAGAAATATTTTTTGTAAAGTTCTACATTAATTACTAGTGTACACATTACTGAGTTGGTTATACTGTATACAAAGAAATGAAAATAAATTTTCTCACCAGTGCATATTTAAAATTTGTTATAGTTGGTTTACATAGAAGATGAAGTGATGAAGGCAATAAACATAATAATGTTGTACTTAAACTGAAAAATTGAAAAAAAAAATGCAAACATGTTTCATATATTTTTTACTTTAAATAGTTTTTAATGCATTTAGTAATTAAATTAATAATAGACAGGACACAATTGTATTCCATAGAACTGTGTTCTTTTTGAGTTGTAATATTTGTGAAGTGCAAGTGTAGACATATAAATCGAGCTAAACATTTTCAATATTTAGGAGTAAATTAAACTTCCACCCACTGCATTCATAAGTCAATATTTTTGTTTGGCTTGCGAACATGTGTGCTAACCACTGAAATACTATAATTTAAATGACCATGGTAAATGATTAACAAAGTAGACCTAATAAAATCTTGTCAATACGAGTATTAAAGTTCCCATATTAAATGAGTTCAAAACTAAGAAGTAAATAGAAGTGATGGAAACTTTAACCCTTGACTATAGAAAATGGCAGCTAATTTAAACTACTAATGAAGTTCATAGTAGGTTCAAAGGTGAATCTGAACCCTGACTGTGGCAACCAAAATATATACTAACCTAAAATAAAATTGTACTACCTACCATAACAAAACCAGATTTTCTTGTGATAAAATATTTTTCAACTTTATTAACACGGACAGACTACACCAAAAACTAGCAACTTTATCCTGCGAAACAGACAATATTTATTTTTAAACAGATATTATGTTATTAACATGAAAAGACCATAATCAAGTCTCGATGCCATCGGATAGGTCCGATTTTAAGTAGATTAGAACTTTTTTTCAGCTAATTGTTCTAAAGATCGGACACACAGTTTAACAACATGAAAATGTAAGATTATAACAACACTTTTGACATTGACATTTCAATTCTTCTCTTTTTTAGTAAATTCTGTTTGCCATTTTAAAAATAAAATCAAGAGGTATGCCCTACTTAAGTGTGATACATTTTCCCTTTATATGAAGCCAGCATAACAAACTTCAAGCAACAATCTACAAGATATTTTTTTAAACCCTTCCCCAATGTATGCATATAGTAATCATACCCAACTGGGTAGCAGGGCACTTCCAATAGGTTAGCTTCTCATCCTCAATATTAATTTTAACTTCACATTATTGATTAACACCACCAAATCAGGTCTCTATTTGGAGACTGATTGATATACGTTAATTGTGATCTGACTATTAATATAATGTAACATTTACCTCATATAGACCTCTATTAAAGGGAAATAACCTTGTTAAAACTTGCTTAGCAGACTCCACACTCGTTAAAAATGGAGACCAACATAGAAGAAAAGTTATGATTACTGTTATTCCAATTTTAATTATTTCAAATAACCTGAAAAATTGTACAAGAAAATTACTTAGTTTATGGACATTATCCATATTCATTTTATCACTAGTTAAAAACAGATTTAGATAACTTCTGTGCTTCAACAAATCCTGCATTAGTTTTGGGACCTCCCCTAGTCCTAAGAAATGATAAGTGGTATCAGGTGTTCTAGTAAGAATATCCTGCATAAGTATATGTTACATATTTTCTAAATACATACCCTTTAAAAGGCCCTGCTTTATAACATTTACCTAATAAATAGGTAAAGAAAGGCATGGCATGATAGAGTTCCATTTGTTTATAATTAAGAGCCAATGTAAATAAAGCTGCTCCTATCATCTGTAATTCAGAACCTAAACAGGCTACAGCTAAAACAGCTAACCCTAAACTTATGCCATTGTATCTTACAGATATTAAGGTTTACAAAACTTTAATAAAAAGAACATTACTCATTCAAGGAAGTTCTGGATACCCCTCCACATCAACTTTACCATTTCTTCTCTACTATGCACCAAATCCAATTACAATATGTCCAATAGTTTTCATGACAAAATTCACAGAAAAATGGCACAGACATAGTCTGATATTCTCATGTATTACTAGTAAATGATACTTTGTATTTTATACAAGAAAACTGTTCTGAATTGCAAGGATACTGAAAATGACCATAATCTATTAAAATCAACCCTGGATATAACAATATCACCATCAAACCAAATAACTGAAATATAAAATAATACATCATATCTATCCATATTCAGAAAATCAGAGGTCAAATAAGAAAACTTCCCTTTTATTTATCTTATAATTCCTGGTGACCTCTTGGCAGGTCAGTTTGTTTCAACAGCAAAGGTTTTAAACAATGTAAAAGTATAAATAAAACATACCATTGATTTATCATCTAACTGATCTTGTGCAAGATAAAATAATACTGCTGCTGGTAAAAATATTAGAAAGTCTGCTACTAATACTGAAAAATAATTATTCAATACATCTCAGACACCAAAAAATTACAGTACAAACTACAGTATCAGTACATAAAAGAGTGAATTTAAATAATATAAATCTTCTTCCCCAATTAGAATGACTATGGTCGAGAATAATGAAAGATATCTAACTATGTTTATTTTCATGCTCCCCAGGAATTTCAAGAAGTTCATTTGAAAGAAACAAGCTACCCAAGCCTAGGCATATGCCAGCAACAATTGAAAAAGAAAACTGTCTTAGATAACCTTATTGAGCATTCATAAAAATCTTAAGATACTCAAAGTAATTTTTACTGTAAATCATTCGTAGAACCATCTGTACTTACCTGTATATCTCATAAATAATTTATGGTAATAACTTTCATAACCTCTAGACTTGTATAATCTCACCCAGTCAGGATTAATATACTGTGCTCTAAGAAATAAATACTCTTTACTCAAATATAGGCTATTATTAAATATTTACTTACAATAAATTGTGAATTAATCCAATTAACTCATAGAATTTTTTTTAAATATATTAAACATTACACTCTTTATTTATAATTTCTGGTGGACCAACATCATTAACAATCTAATACATTCTTTTCCAGTGTAGGTACAATTTATTATACTTACACGTAGCCACAGATTTTACTATGGTAAGCTGTTAGAGGAGGATAATCTAGACCCCAATACTGTAAGTCATTGTTTGTTGTATTTCTGTACCTGTTTAAAAAATTGAGCATATTTCTAATTATCTATACAATTCTGATGTAATCTAAATCTAGATTTTCACTTCAGTACAGTGTGGACCATCCATAAGTACAGTCTAACATATCTGTAAGAAATGTCGACTGGACAAATAATTTGCCCAATGAATAATGGTTTTAGCTTAGCAAAAGTAGTTAGATCTCAATATACATTTCATTCAAAGAAATTTCAATGAGAAGAAAAGTAGCTAAACAGAAAGGAGACTGCAAAACAAGAACTGTGGGGAAAATATTATTTTTTCTCACCAATCAGATACAGGTAGATTTAATGTTATTTCCATCCAGTGTCTCTGAGCTTCATAGTCACCATACATTGGTGGTTTACTCTGTCCTTTAAATAAACAAGAAAACATATTAATAAAGGATGATCTGCTGGCCATGAGCTTGCTCTTAACACTGGTTGCAGAATATAGAAGGTATTTTACCCTCCATTTTCTTTCACTGGGCCCAAGGTTATAACAAAGTCCCTGACAATTACAAATAACAGATAGAGATTTGAAGAGACTTCACTGACCAAATATAACTTTGGATCCACTATTTAAATATTACAATATAATAGTACACATGTATTAGTAAGCGATCTTGGTTTTAATCCGGCAGTTATGATTGGTCAGACTCCCTTTTTTTCATCACTGATATTTCCACTATAATCCTAACGCTAACTCCTAAGCCTAATCATAACTGGGGGATAAAAGTGTGTGCGAAATTATGGCAAAGAAAGGTGGAATAAAAGTTGAAAAAAGGATGTCGGATGAAAAAATAGCCTGTAATCCCTTCAAGGGTTGAAGCCATGGTGGCACTGTACGGCAAGTAAGCTATGTGCTAGCTCACTAACCAGGAAGATCAATGCCGGTGTTAGCTGCTGAAAAAATTCTGCAGATGAACTTTCTCGGCCAATGCTGGGATCGAACACCCAACCTCCAGGATAGTGAGCAAGCGTCTTACGATTCATTGTTGTACATGTTCTGCCGGAATAAGGCATTGAATAGCAATTTATACAGTACACATAATTTAAGACGTTAGAAAGTACATTATACCTGAGTAGGTATTTTGTGAAACGGACCATCTTAGTGCGATTGATATAACGACTAAAACACAAACTTCTACTAATAGACCCATGTTTCTTTAGTAAACAAACCGCGGCCACGAATTCACGGAAGTAGTCTCTGTTATCATACCAGAACTACCAAGAAGATGAGAAGATAGAGTCGATAATGAGCAAAGGGTCTGGATAATGTGGCTTGGAGCTAATGGGAATACTAATCGTATCTTTAAAATAAAAGAGTTTCTACATACGGCCACAGATCACTAAAAATTTGCCCATTGACTTTAATGTTAATTCTCGTCTCTTAGACCGGCTCTAATTTTTTCCCAAATTTTCGTTGGGTAGAACGCCTTCTACCACAGATGGAGCAACATGTGGCAACCTCTTGCCCAAAAGCACGTATGAGGTTCACCATGGAAAACTTGAGATACACAAGCTGGAAGTAGAGACAAGAAAACATTCAATTTTTGACCCTACATTTCAACCTAACCAACCTCTCAACTCTTGAATCCTTCCGCCTCAAAATCATGAATATTCACCAAAACCTGGCAGAAAATGTATTTTCAAACCCTTTTCTTCGATTCTACACCAAAAAGTCAACAAAAATCGCCATGCAAAAGGGGGAAAAAGGGAAAGGGAGAGAAAGACTAAAAATAAATAATATTTGGTGAGCTGTGTCCATTCGCACTCCAACATATGACAACAGTATGCCAAAAGGCAAATAAATAACCAAAAAAAAACAACATAAACATTAATTAGTTTTTAATACACAAAATAATGATAATGAAAACGAATACTAATATTTTTAAATTAATGAATTGAAAAAAAAAAAAAGTGAATTGTTGGGGGAAAATTCAAACATCATTACTATTAGCCTAAAATCGACAATACTGAATTCATATACTAATAGATAAACACATCCAGAATAATTGTGTGACGGTTACCAGAGACATTAACCTGGTTGGGGTGAGGGTGGGGCCTTTGGGGCCTCAGACCTGTTGAAGCCCACGTCACGTTCCACATTTACAAATGTAACTGTTCCTTACAGATAAATGAAAAAAATCATGCAGTGTTTGTGAAAAATCATATATCAGATGGGCCTATATGGCTTTAACCGACTTAAAGGTTATGGTCCATCGATCATTTGAACTTTACTTGGCAAGCATGATTTGAGCTCACTGGCTCCACTTGGTCTCGGCTGGAACTTCTCAGATCATGCCTACATTCACCACATTTTACATAACAGACATTCGTTTTTGGGCACTTGGCCCCCAAGACACACTATGCCCCATTGTTGATTCGCTACTATGGGTATATCATGATTAACACGAAATTCATCCATAACATCACAATATGGCACTGCAACATTAAAAGTGCAGATGAAAATCATTTTTAAAAATTTCGCTCCGTGTCCAGTCAATATGATAATTGAACCTGTCAATAAATATGAACCAGCAGGTCATCTGTATGTTGTATTAAGAATGGATACATCACACTGCAATCAACTCTGACCATAATAGAAAAACTGAAAAGTGTTTTAGAGTGTGTGAAACATAACGGTCATATATTTAATAATAGATACACTCCTTCAAAGCCATCGTTGCTATCTCTCTGTTTCTCTGGTGAATTCAGACATTTAAACTCACAGCACCTTTCATCTGTCGGGCAAATATATGCATATTTTCTGTGTTTTATTGATATTTCTAATACTTATACATATTCCTCATAAAATTAAAATGTTATGTTCAAATTCACATGAGTGTTAGGAAGGGTGTCGAGGGGACAACGTGGTATATGACTTTCTGGGCAAAAAAGGCACAAATAATAAATTTGTAGGCAGTCATCAATCCTTTTCTTGTAAAACTATCTCTGGTCAATATTCAAAACCCTGTATCATTTGGTGTCCCATATGTCAATGATAGTATCTGATATTTGTTCATGTCATTACTGTATATCCAGGCCTAGGTAAATTTAAATATTTTCAATGTCATAATTCTTTTTATAGGATATTATTCATATGTTATTTAATTGATTTAATTACAAATGAGATGCCGATGGCCATAAATTGCATTGTCACTACTCACAGGCAAACATGTATATTATTTTTATGCTCCATAACTAGGGAAAACATTGAATGTGTTCTTCTCGTAAGATACATGAAAATGTTAGACAGATAATGAGAGTGACAGAATTAAATTAAACCTGTAATTTTTGTTTTAAAATAATTTATTCAACAATTTCACAGATATATTTTATTGCAGAATCTTTTTCATCCAAAACAATTATGTAATAATGTTGCACTTTCCGTTAATTTCTTAGGTTCTGTTAGAACTTTATATTTGGACAGAATAGCTGGTAAATCTATTGATACGGCTAACACTTTAGCCTTGTCATCATCGTTTATAAAGGTTCCTATACACACAATTAATCTAAATGCAGCTTCGTTATCCAGACTTCCTTCCAGTAATGAACCTGCGGCACATATACACAGAGATTTTTTTTCCAAATCATCTATTCCAAAAAAGGACACAGCAAAATTTAACAAAATAGTAGCAATAGCTATCTGTATATTTTTGTTGGAGGAATCTTTCAGCTTCAATATGGCTGTAAGAAGATTTTCACAATTTTCAAAGTTACTCTTTAAGCCTCCTGGTTGGCTGAAAGCATTAGCAATGATTCTAAGAGCCAGCATTTGATTTGCTGTAGGCTGGTCTGCTGATAAATACTGATAAAGACCCTCAAGGAAACCAGCTTTACCAGTAAAAAGACGATTTACATCAGGGTACAGCATCCCTAGTCTTAAAATATCAAGAGCTGGAAATATAACATCTGAAAAACAGAAACACATTCAACAATTAAATTTAAAATCTCTACTACAATAATCCCACTCCAAACTGTCTCCACTCTGACAGAAATATTGGCCTGGATAAAATAGCATTAATTGTGTATACGAGATTTTTGTACATCTTAAATATGCAGTATGTACGATTTAGATAAAGAGTTGATCTTCTTGCTATAATAGTTGAAAAATGAATATATTGAAAATTTCAGTTAAATTGCTTAATTCTGAGTGAAGCTATGAGCATTTGAAGTTTTGACAAGACAGTCTCGATTGCCAAATACCATTAAATGCTACGATAATAAACAAAGTCTCGATTATCCATTTTAACGTTAGATTATTAAATTATTTATTCAATATCTTAGGTATCCGATCTTCTAGAGAGTTGATTATAGGACTGTCATTTGAATAAATGTCTAAAAAATACAAAATGTAACATTTGAAGCCAGAAACAAGACCTCCAATAGGCAAATTTATCACTTACATATTGCATCTTTAAGAAGATAGCACAGTGGGGTCATTTAAAAAAAAAAATATTCTTGTTCTCAGACGATCCTTCTAAAAGGAGGGCCCTGACAAGGACAGCTGTCTAGTTGTTTGGATGGGACAAAAAGCTGAGGTCCCATGTACACATTGGTGTGTACGTAAAAGATCCCTTGGCAGTTAAAATTCGATAAAGAGCAGGCAGTAGGGCCGCTGTCCGGGCAAAATTTCCCTCATAGCACACTGTATGGCGTATGCCCGTCTTCATTGCCCTGTTGGAGCAGAACAGTAGGATGTTAAATCCCATTTCACTTCATTTACTACCAAATGGCAGGATACTTATCAACAGAAGCAGAGGGAGAAATGGGTTTAACTCCACTCAACACAAACTAGATCATTTCGGGACTAACACATGGTTCAATTTTATTTCAATAATTTGCTTGTGCGTAGAGATCTGTAGCAGTGGGAGGAAACTGGAGGACTTGGAGAAAACCCATGAGGTTGGACAGGCGGCCCTACTCCTTGTCACACGTACAACCGGGGAATCGAAACCGAGCCAGTTGACTCAATGACAGACCTTATGATATAGCGTGCACATGCTAACCATTCGACCATCTACACCCCTCAACAGAAGCAGGTTTCTGATAAACATGATACAGTGAGAATTGTCTAGTACCATTTATGATTGAAAATAACAGTTATCCAAGTTGTGTACATGTACTATATATTTATGTATATGATTTCAAATGGCAACAATAAATAGAGTTTCCCTGTCTATAATGCGTGAAATATGAAGGTGTGACAATGACTTACTTTCTGGCCAGAGTAAAAGTTTACATAATACAGCTATTTGTTGATCAGTTGATGATTGTCCTGTTATAAATGTTGATAAACTTTCTAATTCTATGTCACTAACAGCTTTATCACCACCTACAGACTGATTAAACTCCTTTAATTTACCTAAAACATATATATAACTTATATCAGACATATCAAATTTAAATCAAAATATTTAGAGTATATAAGCTCAGTGACATTTATGACGTTTTAGCTCATAAACTCCAGTTTATCACATGATCAACCACAACTATGACATCAGGGGTACGAGGGCTGGCTGAAAAGATATAAGCCTGAAAAGGATAGATCAATTGGGTTGAAACAACTTTTGCCAATCATTGAATGTTATTGTCTTTGTACCAGACCATCTTGTGAATCTACCCATTGAAATCACCAGAAATGGACAAAACTGGCTACAGGGCAGTCATCGGATAAATGCCAACATGGTCACTACCTTAGGGGATGATGCCCCTTCCTTTTCCACAAAGAGAGCCTTGACGATGACCTGTGTCCTGGAAGGCCATCAACAGCAAGCATTCAAGAAAAAATTACCCAGGTGCATGACATAGTATTGGCTGATTGACGATTGACCCCTCGTTATATTGCCAGTGTTGTGGGCATCTCTCATGAGAGGGTTAGGAATGGCAAAAGTTCTTGACTGCAGATCAGAAAAATGTCAAGATTTCTGACGCCCCATGACAGTCTGCACCGTTTTGGAAGCAGATCCTGATAATTTTTTGGCCAGATTTGTAACCATGGATGAGACCCGTCTCAAAAAATGAAAAAGGAACTAGCCGGTCAGCAAAAGTGTTAGAAACCATCAACTTTGTACAGTTTTTCACAGATAGGCGTAAAACTTTTCAGTCAGCCTTTATAGTTTGACGTCAATAGCAGCTCATTCCTGACACTTTCCTACCCCAATCAACAGTACGTATGACTACAATAATAAAATCTTAATTCAAATAGATGAACTGTAAATGTAAGAAACAACTTTTAAGTTTATTCTGTTTGGTGTGAGTTACTCTGGTTTATGAGCCAATATAAGTAAATTCATATGACAGAGTGGGTTAAAATATTTATTCTGAATTCTGAAGTACTTTAGGTGCAGCTATGTAATGATCTCAAAATTCATTATACACTGATTCAAATGAAATTAACTAACCAAGTTATTAATACACAGGACTGCTGCTATTTTTGAAATATAAGAATTCTAGGCAATACAGATGATTTGGTATTTCTTGGGTTAAATAATCTTTAAGGTTCAACTTACCCATGATCTGAGCTGGATTAGACTGTGTAAAAGTAACACATTTTCTAACAGGAAAATAGGTGTTTGTTGTAGAAGCCTTTGTAACACCAACAGGATTATAACTACCAGAACCTACAATTTAACAAGTTATGTGAATAAAAATACAAGTTCCAATTATATATGTATAATAAAACATTGATAAAATTTGAAAGAAATCAGGATGTGAGAGAATTTTGCCGATACAGCAGTATTTTCCCTACTGCCAAGGAAATTCTACATGTTATAATCTCTATACAAACGAGACATATAGCAATATTTACCGGTAAATGGATCAGCACCATGAGATGCATTAGATCGTGTCTGATCAGTATAAGATGGTACATGCCGTCCAGATCCTGTAAATGGATCACCACCACCAGTACCAACACCATTAGCACCTCCACTACCTGGTATATATCTTCCTCCAGCTATATAATATATAAATAAATATATGTATTCACTCAATAAATTAATCCACCTACATATAAGGCTACACAAAATAAATGTCTTGTTTCTCGGGCAACTGACAGCTGAAACTATAGGGGGGGAGGGCGGGTTATTTTTTTTTTTACCTCATTTCTGGCTAGAGGATGGTGCAAAATAAAATTTGGCTATTGTTGAAAATTGTTGGGGCGGGAGGGCGGCCTTGTATTTTTTTTTTTTTTTAATGAGAAAGTCATTACTCGTCTACGGTTTTGCTTTCAGTTATATATTATACATACTTAGAACATAAACCCAAAAATCAAGTCTACTCAAACACTGAACACTGACTGAAAGGAAAATAATTTTCCATATTTAATTCACGTAATGTAGCTTACTAATGGTAATGGTGACAACCATATTTAATTCACGTAATGTAGCTTACTAATGGTAATGGTGACAACCATAATTATAATTGGTTTAAAATAAAATTCCGTACGACTATTAATAGACGTCCATAATAACGACAATATTTTAAAGAGTAAGCCTCTGTCAGCATGTGTATCAAAAATAATCAAAACGGTAAACGACACTTAGATCTAAATCTAGTATCGCTGGTTTATAATGATTGACCTAATTCCAACCAATGCATGTCACGTGTCATCGGGATTCGGGAAATGACTGTTTCTCAGGATATTCGGTGTGTTTCTCAGGATATTCAGTGTTCTATCTGGGGTTTATATCGAATGACTATTTAAATTTAACTAACAACTGGTCAGTAAAACCATCAAATGTGTAATCCAATTATTATTTTCCGGATTATCAAAACTACCGTTAAATGTGCTAATGACTCAGATTCTGACTAAGGTATGGTGACTATCATCGTATCATATTCGTAGCCACAAGTTATAATAATTAACCTGTGATACAAAAATGGAGGTTCTTTCGATATCAATAAAAAAGACCCGTAAATGAGCGTTTGCATCTGAATCAGTTTAATACATTTGAATGGATATTCACGTATGGGGCATGTAGCTACATGCGGCATATTCTTTTTATGACTTGCGTATCGATGTTCGGGTGGGCGTTACATATTTTTTATTTTTCATCAAGACTAATAAATAGGCCGCACGCGCAACCAATTTTGCGTGCGGGCAGTGCCCGAGAAACAACTTATTTTATTTGTGTTGCCTAAACATACATTATTCATAATCATATACACGAACAAGCATTTTTATAATATCTTTACAAATATAAATATGTATAGATCATTTTGTGTAAAATTGTTCAACATGAAGCTCATAGATATCCATTGATAACTTTAGCTCCTAGAAACAGCCATAAGATTCTGTCAAACCATAATTTGTCATAGTTTCATAACATTGCAAATAATTATCCGAAATATGACTGAAATATGGCTTTCTTTGTATTGTTAAGAAGATCAGATTGCATCAACTGTTCCTAAGGTATCAAAAGATTCTATAAATGGGTCAAGGGCCATAACTTTGCAAATAATTGGAACTCTTTGAAATCATTCAGCTCACAAAATTGCCCAAAAGATTAAATAATTTCTTTTGAAAGAAGAAAATACAACTACATTATTTACTGACATGTAAGAGGATCACCACCGAGATTTCCACCAGTTCCTAAAGTCACACCTTTCGTATTGTCTACTATAAAGTTTGCTACTTGATCTAAGAAGAGTTGAGATAATTGATTTTCATCTAAAAATCTTTGTGCAGCAAACCAAGGGTCTTCACTTGTATTGTAAGGTAACTTTAATGGTGGCTGTCCTTCTTGTATATCAACACTAAATACAAAATCATATTCCTGCAATACAAAATTAACATCTTAAACACCAGCCAAATTGCAAATATATTAGATGTAAAAGTAAATATCATATTCATGTGGTTCAACAATGGGCAATAAATGATTTACTAAATAAACTGTAACTTCCCAGAAATGTTTTACCAATTTAGTTAAATCATATAGAATTTCATATATTGCAAAAATTATACATTTGTATTTAAATCAGATGTGCAAAAACAAAACATAATGAAATAAACAATGGGTCGCCTTTAAACAGAAATTTAACCATACTTTGGTGTAAATAATGAAGTCACAGCAACAATTGATCTATATTTAATAACTCATTTGTTAATCCAATACTATCATTATTATCACATGCAGTCAGTCATCACAAATTTTCACACTTGTCTATAAGACACATTAATTTGAAACATCCTGTTTTATTGTCTATAAATCTTTTAGTGGCATTTAGCAACTGGATATTGTAATATATATATTATAACACACACTTATGAAAAACGACTACTAATATATTTGGGCAAAGTTTCGAAGAATATTCTCTCAACGTTATCAACCTTCGCCTAACAGAATCTATTTTCCAAAACTGTGTTATAGTTTATTATTTACGGTATTCCTTACCTTTCCTTGATATAATGTTTTACCAGATGTAGCTTGTGTGCCACCAGCAGAACCAACAATGTCTCCTACTTTATTCCATTTACTAGCAGACGCATCCCAATTATATAACTGTACTTTATCACCATCCTTTACCATCTTTGTCTGACCATCTTTACGACCTTTATCATTCATAATAATAATCAATCAGTCAAGCTTTCATGGGTGAAAGTTATCGCAATTTAAAGGGTTATAAAATTTCTAAAGAAGAATTAGATCTGGACTCACTGCTCTAAATACAGCCCAGACAATATTTATAAAATCACAGGAAAGAAACAAAAAAAGTGCTAATGGAAAAAAGTGGAACATAAAATTAAATAGAGTTATTAGCTAAGATAACATTTTATAAATCATATGTCTAATAATTGTGTACTGTAAAATTGTTTGTAAAACTGTTTAAATTAAGGCATACTGAAATACCTGGATTAATCAATGCTTCTGGACCGGGTAAGTCTTCCATTTTAATATCACCGAGTTGAGTTGGAATCGTAGATGCTGCCAACGCTTCTTCAAATGCCTGTAATTCATCCTCAGGAGCTCTTCTTTCTGGACAAGTTGTAAACACTCTTATTAAACCATCACTGTCAAAATACACAATATAATGAATATGTGAGTAGAATCGTAATGGAATTAAACGCAACTAATATGTTTAAGCTATCACGGTTGGTTGAGATGTACAACTAATATGTTTCAGCTGTCTTGGTTGGTTGAAATATTTTCTTATGCAGTAAACATATGCGTTGTATCCCAAAATCCCCCTTTTCATTCGATTGTCATATTTTTGGAATTAATTCCAGAACATTCAATCAAGTATTCAGACTGTGAGCTGATCATGGGCAACAACCCAGACAGTAACTAAACATGTTCGAATTACCGGAAACCATTGAAAATTAATAGGCTTTTTCATTCCAGGAACAGAAACACTGTGTATAAATTCAAAGTCAATCGGATGATGACTTTAGCTTCTAGAGTGTCCATAAGCAATTGTGGACAAATAAGATAGGTTGCCAGGCAACAAAACATACGCCCACAGCAGCTAAATCGTCCGAGCGGTCGTCAAGGGTTGTCGCATATTTATTCCTTTGTAGGTAATTGGGGGCCTTTACAAGACAGTTCTATACAGATCAGATTATAAATTTTGTCGTTTGAGGGTTTACAAGGTTCTACAAACTGAAACAAGGGTCTCAACTCTGGAAGTAATCTACAGAAATTGTTGAAATTTGACAGGCTTTTTCGTTTTACTAATTTAAATAATGCATATAAATTTCATACAGATCACATTTGTCATTCAAACGTTCACAATCGCCATAACTCTAGAAATTATTGACGGAAATTGCTGAAATTCAATAGATGCATATAAATTTCATACATATCGGATGATAACTAAAAATCAATCGAGCATAAACAGGGTTTAACAAAGTGAAACAAGAGCAATAACTCTAGAAGTAATTATTGTAAATTGCTGAAATTCAATAGGCTTTTTCGTTTCACTAATTTAAATCATGCATATAAATTTCACAAAGATCGGGTGATAACTTTTTGACGGAAATTGCTGAAATTCAATAGATGCATATAAATTTCATACATATCGGATGATAACTAAAAATCAATCGAGCATTAACAAGGTTTAACAAAGTGAAACAAGAGCAATAACTCTAGAAGTAATTATTGTAAATTGCTGAAATTCAATAGGCTTTTTCGTTTCACTAATTTAAATCATGCATATAAATTTCACAAAGATCGTCTGGTAACTTTTTGCGTTAGAGCATTCACAAGGATCAATAAAGTGAAACAAGGGCCATAACTCTAGACGTAATAAATGGAAATTGCTGAAATTCAATAGGCTCCTCCGTTTCACTAATCTAAATAATACATATAAATTTCACAAAGATCGAATGATAACTTTTGGCGTTGGAGCGTTCACAAGGATCAATAAAGTGAAACAAGGGCCATAAATCCAGACGTAATAAACGAAAATTGCTGAAATTCAATAGCCTTCTTCGTTTCAGTAACCATAATAATGCATATAAATTTCAGAAAGATCGGATGATAACTTTTGACGTTAGAGCGTTCACAAGGATCAATAAAGTGAAACAAGGGCCATAACTATAGATGTAATAAACGGGAATTGCCGAAATTCAATCGGCTTCTTTGTTTCGGCAATCTAAATAATGCATATAAATTTCAGAAAGATCGGATGATAGCTTTTAACGTGAGAGTGTTCTCAAGGATCAATAAAGTGAAACAAGGGCCATAACTCTAGACGTAATTAACGGAAATTGCCGAAATTCAATAGGCTTCTTCGTTTCAGTAATCTAAATAATGCATATAAATTTCAGAAAGATCGGATGATAACTTTTGACGTTAGAGTATTCACAAGGTTCAATAAAGTGAAACAAGTGCCATTACTCTAGACGTCATAAACGGGAATTGCTGAAATTCAATAGGCTTCTTTGTTTCAGTAACCTAAATAATGCATATAAATTTCAGAAAGATCGGATGATAACTTTTGACGTTAGAGCGTTCACAAGTATCAATAAAGTGAAACAAGGGCCATAACTCTAGACGTAGTAAACGGGAATTGCTGAAATTCAATAGGCGTCTTCGTTTCAGCAATCTAAATAATGCATATAATTTTCAGAAAGATCGGATGATAACTTTTGACGTGAGAGCGTTCACAAGGATCAATAAAGTGAAACAAGGGCCATAACTCTAGACGTAATAAACAGAAATTGCCGAAATTCAATAGGCTTCTTCGTTTCACTAATTTAAATAATGCATGTAAATTTCAGAAAGATCGGATGATTACTTTTGGCGTTAGAGCGTTCACAAGAAATTGTGGATGATGGACGGACGGGGGCGACGGCAATATACATCCACATTTCAATGGGGATTAACATTTCATTTAAAGAATTGATTACACAGTGTTATCTTGATGTCTGATTGAAAATAATGACCTCAATTAATTTTACAATCATGTTACAAAATTTGTTTGTAACCTTTTTTCTTTGAAACATACCTAGCACCTGACACAATGTCTCCATTAGCAAGTGTACAAACAGACCATACAGATTGAATAGGATGTGGTATAGTTTGTACACATTCACTACCCTTCCACACCCGTACTGTTCTATCTTCACCACTTGTAACAAAATCTTCACCATTAGGTAATAACGCTATACTGTACACATAATTAGTATGACCATAATATGTCCCTATACAATCACCACTAGTCAACCATCTTTTAATTGTAGCATCATTGGAACAGGATAAGAATTCACCGGGACGGACAGCTGCTAGACCTCTCACACAATCTTCATGACCTGTATGAAACAATTGATAGAAATTTAAAGAGGGCGGTAAATATTCCTACATGTATTAAATTTGATATCTTTTGATCGTTATCAATTGTGTTGGCTTTATAATAAAGATGATAAAGTATTAAAATCAATTCCATTCGTAAATACAAGCCAACAAAATCATAAACATTAGCAACAAATAATACAAACAAATGGAAGTATTATCTTAAAATTCTAGTACATTTGTTCAGCATCATACCATACTCAGAATATCAATTGCAGGTGATAAATTAAACCACAGTTAGTAAAGATTATTCTAGTTTAAAAACATAAGAAATCTGTAATCAGCAATGCCGACACAAACATTAATTGTAATTTAACTGAATGATTACAAAATTAAAACATGGCTTGCCAAATAACATTTACCCGATGCCGCCATTGCCAATGTTATCTTAGGGAAAACAATGAAAATTAATAGGGACTATGAGCAAGATCTGTTAAGAACCTAAACCATATACTGTGGACAACGAATTGTGGATGGAACAATGCTTGTGTATGAAAATAAAATATGTAAGTACCAATAAAAGTCTGTAGACATTTTCCTGCTTTCCATAGTTTAATAGTTCTATCAGCTGAACCTGTTAACATAACCCCTTGTTCAGACATTGTAGCTACAGCCCATACAGCTGCTTCATGACCTAAAACATACATAACATAAAAGAAATAAAAATATAAACACTAGAAAAAAGTAGTAATATTTCCTATAAAGAACACTTCACAGTTAAATATAAAAATATGCTAATAAACAAAACTTAAACTAAAAACATTTACCTTCTAATGTCATGACAGTTTTCTGATTTAACCATACACGTGCTGTTTTATCCCATGATCCACTCAATAGAAAGCCAAACTTTCCAGCTGATAGAGCACAAACTAAAGTTTTGAAGAAGAAAAATAATATTAAAAGGAATACAGTGAATTCACAAAATACATTTTGATACACTGCTACCTACATGTAAATTACATCTGTTTTAATTTTGAATTGGTCTTTGTATTATTTTCCATTTCCTGCCAAAACTAAATGGATATACATTTAAAGTTTTATCTTTATTTATAAACACTAATGATGCAATCTATTTAATGAATAATAAATCCATCTAGAATGTTATATACCTGTGTTTGTGTGACCTGTCAATTTAAATATGGGTTGGGGAGAGTCTAGAGTAAATGCTAAAATCGTTGAATCGTTGCTTCCAGTAAATACCAATCCTTGTGGATATTTCTCATCTGGGGGCATAACACAAACACTAGAAACAAAGTTGCTGTGGCCTCGCATAACATGACCCTCTTGAAAACCATTGTCCATTCTGAAATAAGTAATACATGTACACGCACATTTTAAAACTGTTGTCTGGTGCTTCTTATATTAGGAGCCACGGCGGATAAGTGGGTAAGATGCTGGCTTGCTAGTCTGGAGGTTGGGTGTTCAATCCCTGTATTGGCCAAGAAAGTTCATCAGGATTTTCCTGCATGGTTTCCCCTTGTCAGTGGTGCAGGACGGAAGGCCTGACAAGGACAGATGTCTAGTCATTCAGATGGGACAAAAAACCAACGTCCCATGTATACATCGGCGGGCACGTAAAAGATCCCTTGGCAGTTGGAATTCTATACAAAAGTAGACGTATGCCCGTCTTCATCAGCCCAGTCGGAGCAGAACAGTAGGACGTTAAACCCCATTTAATTTTTTTTTGCATCTTTTATTAACTGATAACTGAGCTGAAAACTGGTCTCAATTATTTTGTGCATATTTAGAGCTAGCAACAACCTAACTTTTCAACTCACTAAGGCGACAACTAACCACACTGGTTTTATGGTTAAATAAAAGTAAATTTCATAGTCTTACGGTGTCGGTAAGTTGCCGAGAGATTGAGTTTAAAAGATAGAAAAAGGACGAAACTACATGAATTGACCTTGAACCGAGAACCATTACAATATATACGTCATTGGGTGCAATCAACTAAATAAGAAATAAAATCGCTGAGTTTAAGTCAAAGTTTTAATTAAGTTCGTAACTACAGTAAAATAGCTGTTGAAAAAGCCGGCATCATTGCCAAAGCGAAAACTGCTAAATCCAGGAATCAGACAATTGCGCATGTCAAACGGGGGTGACGGTGGCTATATTATATAGTAAATAAAGTAAAGAACCATCGGACAGCAAAATATATACCGCCTTTATTTTATTGTCAATATTTGCTGATAAAAGATGAATGTTATTTCAGTAGATTGGACTGCGTATGTGTAATAAGTACTAATAATATATAATTTACTTATTTTAAAGATGGTACATGCATTAATAAAGAAATTGAATTTGGCACTCGGAACTAAAGGCATCCAATCGTAGCTAAAAACAAGCACATCGGTATATCTCAGCGTTTTTAGTTACGTTCTCGTAGCTTTTATAGATAAACATGACAATACACAAAATATCATATCATTTAACAACAAATAAACGATTAATCTTGATGTTTAACTCACTCTATTGGAACCCAAATTCTCGCCGAGACATCTCTTGAGCCAGACAGAATTCCATTTTCAGGGAAAATCGTAGAACAAACGACCCTAACATCTTTTTCATGACCAATAATATTACATCGCAACTTGTACGGCGTCTCCATTTTGCATTTACTGCTCTACAGAACGGCCGGAAATGAGAATTAACATCGCTAAAAACTCACTTTTAACAACAACTAAAATTTCAAAAGTAATATATGCCCCTGTTTTAAAGGATAAAGTGTAACAATTTGTAAGGAAACAATGGATTTTATTTTTTTTTACCATATTTTTCTGCTGATTATATAAACAGGAAACAGCTTTCTGGCGGAATTGTTGTTTATTTTGTTTTCTTTTATATTTATTCAATAATAATAATTTCTGATATGGCTGGTGTTAAACGTGAAAGAGAAGACGACTCAAGCGATTTGGATCATTCCGACGGATCCTTATTCAAAAGAACAAAGTTTAACGATGGTAAAATTACACCACTAATTTTTCTTCAAACTAAACCAAATCGGCAAACGCTTCAAATAAAATAAAACAGCAGCACACGTTGACGTAGTGACATATTAGGGTTCCACTAATAAGCCTAGATAAGTCTAGTAGGGTGCCCCATGCAGCCAAAATTTCCCCTACTGAAAGTTGAAATCACACAGCGAATGTGCACGCTTCAGTGGCTTGTCTCGAAGTGATTTCTGGCTGGTTACGCGGTGCGATAACACTACCGCGCGGTAAGGACGGCCAGCCCTGGATAAACTACTAGTAGGTTTTATTACTCAACAAATACCTTCTCGAAGTATGTAATAAAATCTAATCGGGTGGAAATATAGCCTGCTTCAATCTACGATTCTGAATTACTATTTTATTTAAATGTATTACTAGCAAGCAATTGTATTGTAATAGTTTAATATCATTCTCAATATCTGCAAAGATTCAGACTCAAAAATTATTGAAACAATGTAAGCAAAATTACCGTTTTTGTACAGGAGACGCTCGCGGGAAAATGCCGGGGGGTTTCAAATATAGAACCAATCAAAAGATAGATGACATTTCTGTGATTATTATGGTGCGTCACGCGCGTGGTACCAGGAGCTACGACAATTACAGCCGTAGAAATCGGGATATTTCTTTTTTGCTGACAGGAAGTGAAATTTGCTAAATTTCGACTAAATATAGCCTATTTTTTTTGTGGTATCATCCAGATTATAAATACATGTATTTGACATAATATCATTCACATTATTACGATTTTGATAAATCTTAGCTGACTATAACATGCAGATTTGAGTTTTAAAATTGGTACTAGCGTTTCTGAATGGAAAATACTAATGATGTCCTGTCAGATATGACTGAAAAGCACTTATTTTGGTGCCATGGCACGCATTGACTGGTATAGAGCATTTTGATTACATTATTGATGTCGATCTCGGATTTTAAAGTTCCATAAGTTTGGATCTAATTAGAATATTTTGATAAAATAAAGAATTTTGGGTAGCATTTTATGTATATTTTCACAAAATATTTTTAAAAAAAATTTTCTGTCATTTAAAACTTTGGTCTGAAACCCCTACTATGAGTCTATAAATAGCCATCGCACATGAAATTCTCTACACATCTATGAACTATTACAGCCGTAAAAAATCTATTGTTGACAATTCTGAATAGCAGTAATATTTAGCTTTTTGGTTATTACAGCAGCTTTAGAAATTATGTTTGTTTTATTTTTGATATTGCTTTATCATTAACTATACTGTTAGGAATAGGAGCGGCATCTTTTGATTTATTACAAGTAATATCCCTGAAACACTCGGGTAAGGCAAGAACATGATACTAGCAGTAGTTTCATTTTACTTTTACAAGGTTCTTAAAACAATTGTTGAGTGGCCTAACGTGTGCATTTCTAAATTCAATTTCTTGTTCCAGCTTCCTGTTATGTTTCATAAAAAAAGTATTCTTGATTATCCTGGCCTGTCAATCAGACGGAGAATGGTCGGTAGACTGGTTAAGCGAGACTAATTTCAAAACAAGGGCGCGTAACCTATTTTTACTAAAAAGTGCCCCGATGCCATGGCCAACACTATTAATCATTTTTCAGTCTATTATTTATTGATGATTAAATAGTCATAGAAGTACAAAATGACCGTGGCCAACACTCGTAACCATATTTCAGTCTATCATTTATTGATGGTTAAATAGTCATAGCTTATTAAGTACAACATGACTGTTTATTTAGTGACTATAAATGTGTGAAACTGATTTAAGGCTTGGTAGATATAGATATTGTGGTGTAATTGTCAAGATATTTGGAGATATTTATATATGGTGGGGCACCCTACTACTAATAGTAGTACTGATCTCTTGACTCTTCCTCCAGCCACAGTAGTAGATCGTTCTAAGGACTTCCTTTGAGCAAGTTTGGTTTTAAAAAAAGTTACTGCCCAATAAATCCCTTATTTTCCAATTAATTTAAACTGACCCCATCTGCACATACTAGGATTGTATGTAGCTAAAGATTTAGATACTAGATTGGCCACATTGTCCTCAAAGTATTTATCGCATGGTTATTTCCACTAAAAGTATGGCAAGTTTGGTATAGATCCCAGTCTTACTAGAAAAATATTGGATTCCTGAAAAACACCCATGGGGCCACAAGCACTGGGCAAAAATGTCAGGGTATCACTAACTGGCCCCCAACTGTTGTCTGCCAGCTTATTTTGTGCTAGCTTGACTGAGGGAACGGTTGTTATTTCTTGATCAAATGGTTAGGCAATTAAACGGCAGAAAAAGTAGTTGACAGAAAATAATTAAGAATTTATTTAGACCTCAATATGTATGATAAATGGACAGTAAGTAACAAAAAATACATTCTGAAAAATGGAGTCTAACAACAGTTTATTTATAGCATGCATTATCTTCCGCCGAATACAAAGTTTTGAGAGGGATTTAAAGCAAAATTTTGATAGATTAATTAGTAGCAAAATGTTTTTAGTCCAAATATATCATCAAATCACACAGTTTGTATGCAGGAAGAGTATCTTTAACATACCGGTATATAATATTAATAAACCAATTCCCATTGAAATAAAGGTTAAACTTTACTGCATAGTTATGTGATTTGATAAAATCCAACAGCTATGTGATATTTTTTTCATTTTCCTTCTTAAAATGGTCACGTAACAAGAATTAGGAAAAAAAACAGTTTGATGTGATGAAATAATATTAAATTAGACAGGATAGTAAAATTGCCATGTGCAGTGGAGGTAGTCATAAGTCATAGAATTTCTGACCGACTAGAATTGTATGTGTGCCTACGTACATGTACCTCAACCTGCACCTACCAGGTTATATACACAACATATATTTTCAAAAAATTATATCTGTTTTGAATAATGTTTTAGTCATATTTACTAGATCAAAGTTAATTTTGGTTTTGGCCGTTATGAATCCATCTTCCTTGGCATTGGTTGGATATTTGGGATACTAAAAAGCAATACACTGTATGTTTGAAATTCATGCAAATGCAAATACATGTCTGTTTGTTTGGTAAATTTAATTCAACTGTTTGTACTGTAAAGATATACCTGTTAGATATAGTTAAGATAACATCATTTCAAAAATAGTGCTGAGGGCTTTACTCCAGAGGATTCAATTCTCTAATTTTCCATCAAAATACAATCACTGAATAAACATTAGTTAAAAATTAATTCTTACAACTAACAACAGTACTGTCCCCGGTTTTAAGCAGCTCATGAAAAAAACCTTTAAGAATCAATGTTCATTCTATAAAGTTACATGTACCGGTATAATAATTTATAAACAGTTACATTGTTTATCTTTTAGGTTTTGATGAATGTAAAGATGATGAAATGTCTGATTCAGCTCTATCATCCAGAACTGTTGGAAGGGTATGTTAGAAAAGTTCAACACAGAAGGGCTGGTTTATGATTATTTAGTTTTGAATCTTTTGTGAGATTGTGAGAAATGGATCAGAATTTAAGCTTTGTGTAGATTTTGCACTGGCTCAGTGAATAACCAAGTTAAAGCCATGACAGGCAACTGGCATATAATAACTCAGACTCAGAGTAAGCAGGGGACCATAAGAATGGATTTCTCTGTTTGTCTGTTTGTCACACTTTTGAACACAATAACTCTGCTTGCTTGAGGTACAATGTTCAAACCTTGTGTGGGTAGACATTGTTTGAACGTCTGGGTTCAATTTTGTGCATTTGCTGTTTAGGCTAAGCAAAGAAGTAATTTTTTTTTGTTGATGTTTTGGGGCACAGTAACTTTGATTCTAATTGTGTGGTTGTGATGAAACTTGGTGTATAGTTTCATTACATCAATACCTTACCATGACTAAGTTCCATAATGATTATTTTCTGCTCAGGTTAAGCAGAGTGATAGGCAATTTGACTTAGTGCATAGAATCTAATTTTATTTTTCTCCTATAGGTACGGAAGAAATCAGCTAAGGTGTTGGAAATGGAGGAATTTGAAGAAGCTGAGAAAAAACAATACAAAAAGCCTCCAGATTCTAATAAAAAGACTACAAATTTGATAAAATGTAGTGGGTCAGCTACAAAGGTGAAAGTGAAAACAGAAGAAATTGTTGCCACTGATCCACCTGAAAATATCCCAGATTCTACAACACCCCCTCCTAAAAAACCTAACAAAAGCAGTGTTATCAAGTTATTACTGAGTTCACCTGCTGTTCCAACTGTTCCCTCTGTTAGTACTAAAGCTGTTACTAAATCAAAGCCAGAAGTGCATACTGAGGTAGAATCACAGGGAGTTACAGCAAGTACTAAAAAAGCCATAAAATCTAAAGTTAAGGTCAAAGACTTGACCTCCCCATTACCTCCAAATGTTAAATTAGAAATTGAAACTGTAGAGGAAGTAAAAGCACCGACCGTCTCCGACTTAGCCGTTTTGTCTCCTACTTCTGCCATTTATGCTAATATGCCTGATATAGCTTCAATATCTCCAAGTAGCAAAAACGATGGCAGTCTTAAAATGAAATTGATACTTTCTCCAAAACAAGAAAACCCAACTGATATAATAAAACCTGAATTCAGTGTTCCTGAAACACAGGTGATAAAAAATACCAAAAAGCCCAAGAAAAAAAAAGAATCGCCAACAAATGAGCCAACCAGCACAAGTAAATCACCATCTGAGGCCATGCCTAATCTAGCAGCATTAGTGAATGCAGCAGGGAATACTGCTAATATTAAAAAGAAACCACAGCCTAAAAAGAAATCTAAGAAAAATTTAGAATTTGAGTTTGAAACTTTAGGGGAAACAATGGACTCCATTGACAGAGATGAAGAACCACAGTTAGTAATAGTAGATCCAACACAGTCTACAAGTAAAAAGAAACCAGTAAAGAAAACTTCAACTGGTATTGGTAAGATAAAGAAAAAAGTTAAGACTGAACCAGACCTGGATGGTGAAACATTAGGTAAGGCTTCTGATACTCTAATCAGAATTTATTTACAAAATAAAGTTTGACTATTAAATTTGTCTTTTCAAAGTTCTCCTGAGGGCTGAAATTAGAAATAACTTACTTTAGTTAAATATTGCTATGAAGAGAAAATGAAAATAGTCAATGTTGGTAAAATTCACTTATAGTCTATTTGAAGTTCTAAAACCTATCTCCTGTATTCAGAAAACTGAATGAGTAAAGAATGCTTCAACAATGCTCAGCATTTGCTATTAGGCCCCTAGACGATTTTAATTGTTTGAAATTAATGATGTTTAATGAGTGTTTAAAATATGTATATATTGATCATAGAAGGTCCAGTTCCACCTGAAGGTGATCTAGCAGCTCTTTCTGCTAAAGTTCATAAACAAGTTATTAGTAAAAAAAAGAAGATGGGTTCAGATATTCTTAAAAAGGTAAATGTTATATGCAATAATTTGACAAAAAATATCCCCAGCAACAATTAAAATAGACGAAACGGTAGGGAATATTTGAGATGAACTGTCTCATTATCCACTTGAACTAAAATAATTCTGGCATATAATTTTGATGTGATAAATATTTTTCTGTGATTTATCTTGCAGTTCCAACATTATTATTTTAATTTTAATGGGTATTGACTTTAACTAATGTTATTGGGGACCTGTATATGGTTGGTTGCCTTGTCTATATTGTATTTCTATAATTTGTATCATATTTTTCAGCCAAAGATTAAGAAGAACAAGAGACCGCCTACAGCTTATACTCTATGGTGTAATGCTCATAGAACTGATGTCCTTAAAGAAAATCCTAAAATGGGTAAGAATTAGTCTTGCTATCTAATATCCGACCCTGTTTCTGAAATAAATTATGTGAAACAATGGTAGTTCATGTCCATTTCAACCAAAGGATAAAGCATTAAATTAAAAAAAATTTGCGACGATTCTTTCATGGAATATCATTAACTAAAATGTATGATTTGACAACATTTTTCACCTAACCGGTACTGATCATAAGGCATTCTATCAATGAAATAAGGCCTATTTAAATTACAAGACCCAAAGAATATCAGTCAAACAATCATGATTAATGCATGGACTGTGAAGTATGGGACGATGTCCATCGGAACAAATAATAATGAATGTATATGTACAGTAATTTTGTTATTTGAACACAGCCCATGCATGGAGCCAATGCTACCAAGGCCAATGTTCTGTATACACTAAACTATTCTGAATTATTAAGTTGAGGTAAATGTATTTCCAGATTTTGCACAGATGAGTCGAAGATTGGGTGTGATATGGCAGGGTTTGTCTAAAAAAGAAAAGTTGGTAAGACTTTTTATCTTTGTACAATAGAAATTTTTCCAGACTTTATAGAGATAAATGGATCCTGTCACTACTTACATATTTTTTATTTTTTACACAAATAATTTTTCTGAGAGATCTGGATTGGGGTATCTATCAGCTTTTTTCTATCGTAGTCTGCAATAAAGCCGTTTAGTTAAAGGGAGACAACCCAATTTATTTATTTTTTTTTTTTTTCCATGATCTAGTAATTGAATAGATTTCAAAGTGTACAACTCCATTCTCACATTTATTGCTTATAAACGATGTCATGTGACATATTATTGAATAGCAATACCGGTACTTATTATATTGACTTGAGAAAGCAAGGCAATCTACAAACTAACTTCCTATGTAGCAAGAATACCTACTAGTTTATGGGAATGGTAAAATAAAAGTAGAATGTAAAGTAGTCTAGTACATGTATAATATTAATATTATTTCCAATTAATAGCATTGGTATATTTGATTTTCTTTATTTCTTGGTAAGCAAAGAAATCAAACCAATCAAAGAATATTATAGCTTTTTCAGTTGAAATATGAAATAAATTTTCTCTGGGGACTCTTTTTTGCATTGAAAAAATGCTAAGATTGCTTTACATCAATAATAAAATACATGTATGTTTCAGTCGTGGAAGAGGAAAGCTAAGAAGTTAGCAGGAAAAGGATCAACATTGATTAGTACTGGTAAAACGAAACAACCAGCTCAGTCTCAACCCCTTGCAGCAGCATCCGCACCAACTGGTGTGGTAATATCTACTACAGCCAAACCAATGAGTCCTGTTGCTCCAGTCACTAAAAGAAATTCAGCAGAAGAGCATTTAAATATTACTGTACCCAGAGTATGTATATTAGTTTTCAACAGGGTTATTCCTCTGATTCAACGAACATGTGGGAGGAAATAGTTAATATGGACTTTTATATGCCCACATTTTCATGTGGACATATGTTGTCGTCGCTCCTCTCTGTCCATCCTTCCACAATTTGTTTGTGGACACTCTACTGGTCATAATTCCAATCTCAAATTGGACATAACTTGAAATATAGGTTTATTTCCAAAAGATCTTAGTTCCGTCCGATATTGGCATGTATTGGATCGAACTTCATGGATTATGGCTCCTGATTTTATGAAAAATCACGTTTTAAGCTTGTGGACATTCTAGAGGTTAAAATTTTTATCCAATTTAGATGAAACTTGAATTGTATGTTTTTGTTCCAAAAATCTTGGTTCCTTATATTTGCGCATATCAGTCCGTTAGTTCCTGGATTATGGTCTCTGATTGTACCAAAAAAATCTTGATTTTAGCTTCTGCCCGACAAAATGGCCTCTCCTTGAATGCAAATAGTGTAAAAGTATGTAATACCAAGGTTGTGGCCCGCTGGATGTAACAATTTTTGTCTGATTTTGATGAAACTTAAAATATATGTTTATATCACAAAAATCTCGGTTCCTTTCGATATTCGCGCGTATCATATTGTAACTTTCTGGATTATGGCCCCTGATTGTACAAAAATTCAGTTTATGTCACCCCATCTATTTTCTTTGGGGTCATTGCCCAGTGGTCCCTAACTTTAAAAGAACAAGCATGTGAGTAAGTTACTAGAATAAAGAATTTCTCAATGTTAGTCTTAAAAGTACCTAGTTCTGTGTATACTTTATGTGCCTATTTCTTCTTGTGTTTTATCTAAATAGATAAACCATATAAACACTTGGGAAAGAAGACAAATAAATAAAACAAGTTATCTTATTTACATAATTAAGTAATTAACATATTGTATTTGTTTCTAGGGTTTGGGAACTGATCCTTATTTACATAATTAAGTAATTAACATATTGTATTTGTTTCTAGGGTTTGGGAACTGATCCTGTAGATGTGGCAGCTCATCTTAAGTTAATGGGAGAATCTCTAAGTATTATAGGCATGAGACTACAAGAAACTAAGGTTAGTTTTTTTATTTTATTTCTGTATATTATTGTCATCCATCATTCATCGGTCTGTCCTAAATCTACAGGTTAAAGTTCCCAATGGAATTTTTATAAATGTAGTGGGATTATCAATATGGGTCTATCGAAATTCAGATATTGCAAATCTTGTAGTTACATGTACCCTTCACTTTACAGTCAAATTTTTCAGATCTTATGAATGTGATAGAGGTCAGAATTTTTAGAACTTGGTGTGATTGGTCATTTGGGTATAAATTCAATTTAAGAATAAAAGAATTATCTTCCCGTTAACATTTTACTTTTAAACCATTATACAGAGTTTATAGTGGATTTGCTTGGGGTGATTTGTTGACATTAAAATTAGAGCTAATATTAACGACTTAGCTGCTGATAAGCATATTAGGGAGCATGAGTAGCCCCCATCCATTGTTATTTTATAGTTTCTTCTTCTTATTTACATTCCATGTCAAGTGGACCAAATTCTCAGAAAGTTGTCAGGTGACCCCTTAGACAATTATGAAAAAATATATACATAGTACATATGTTATAGTACATACAAACTTATGTAAAACTGCAGCAAAGTTCTATGACTCTAGCATTAATATTAGAAGTAACAACTTCTAATGTAGTGTAGTAAAATTTTTACACTGTATCAAAATATTGATTTTATTTTTTGCACAAGTATCAATATTAATCACTGAAGGCACCAAGAATATAGACTGACTAGAAGGAATAAAATCAGAACACCAAAATCCAGTCATAGAATAGTAGCTTCTTTGATATTAACACAAGGTACAATTTTATGGATACACAATTACTGAGTTTAACACTGACATTACAACGAGGAAACTCTCAACTTTATCAAGCAAATGATAAAGATGAGAGTATCCTCGTCGAAACGTGCCTTAGTATTAAACTCAGTAATTTTGTATCCATAAAATTGTACCTTGTGCATAGAATAGTAGTTTCAAAACTTGCGAAAGTCATATAACTTTTCAGTTTTACATAAGTTTGTATTTACTATAGCATATATATTTTTTTTCATAATATTCCTGGGGTGGGAGTGGGCCGGGGAATCACCTGACAGGCACTGCTGACCCGTGTATAAGAGACAATTCTATCATGTTGAATTTCTGACAAAAAACTTTTTCGTAAAGAAAGATTACAATGTTGTGGAATTATTAGAACTTGGGTCATTATACAGATTTAAACTTGGTTCATACTGTCAAATATATATGTTTATAAATACTATATTTTTAAAAAGTAAAATAAAGAATTACGTTATCAAACATATATCTAACATTTGACCTCAGAAACATGTGAAATTCTAAGCAATATTTTTACAGGGTCATATGGCAGTTCAAGGTGGACTGTCTGTTTTATTGGATTCATTAATTTGTGCTTGTGGACCTTTAATGTGCTTAACTCAACAAGTTAGTGAACTTAATGGATGTGATCGAAATACTCACTCAAAGACATTAGATAATATAGCTTATATTATGCCTGGACTTTAACAGATATGGAAGACAAAAGTGCTCCGAATTTCTAAATTAATGAATACTACAGCAACTTGTTTATACAATTCTATTTCTGTTTAAATGTACAAAATTGTGAGGGAAAATGCAGAAGTACTCAAAAAGTGATATTAAAAACCCCACATCATTTGGATTAAAAAGATTTCTAGTCGGTTTAGACAAAATGGACAAAGACTCTTTACTGATTATTAGGCTACATAGTAAGAAAAAAGGTATGGATTCATGGACAGTGGTGAGATTGATTAGTGCAAAGTTTGGTTAAGAATCTATTTTAAAAGGGATAACATTGTCATGATCTAACAGAGTATGACTTTATGTAAACACTCTACAGGTCTGAGTTTTTGGTAATATTTTATTCAGACTTACTGGGATTGTTTAGCTGGTCCTACATGTAATTGGAGAGACTGTATGACTATAGAAACAATTATAACTGTTCCTGTCACTGAATTAGTTAAAACGTTCTACAAGCCAAAAGTTTTTAAGATGGAATTCAGAATCCCCCATCAATTTTTATACGTCCACATTCATCCAACCACCAGGGGCAGAGCCACGGCCAATTTTTGTGTTTTTTGTCTACAGGCTGGAATTCTGAATGGAGCATCTTGGAACTTGGCATATTTATTCCTTGTACTGTAATTACAGCAACTATTTATTTTGGTGCATGCCCCGACCCCCTGGGGCAGTGTCACACCCACTTTTTTTTAATGTTTAGTCTTTAAATTTGGCAAAACAGCGCAACGCCTAGCCTTCTTTGCCTCCTGTCATATTACAGTCATTGCAGCTATTTCATATTTCATTCACTTCATTTTAAAAAGTACCATATCAGTGAAAGCAGGAATGTGGACGTATATTGCAGCATTAGCGATGCTCTAGTTTGTGTAGTTGTTTCCCCCGATTCTGACAGTTTGCAAATCACCCTTCAAAAACATTATGTTATTACGTATAGAGAGATATATATATATATAACATTACTCTATCCCACACTAAATTTGCTTATCTGTATACCAGTTTGTGTGTTTTTGATTTGTTAGTGTGTCAAGTCTTTATACATCATATTTATGTTTTGTTAGATTTTTAACCAAACACCCGTTACTTTTTAGTCAACTATTCAATTCTGAACTGTTATTTATTTTTATAGGTATATGTTTTATGTTCTATTCAAATGTTGAGCCTTGGTTTCAAATTGTATTATTTAGTCCATTATATGTATTTGTTATTTAGGTGATTCCTAATTTATTTAAGGTTTTAGAATAGGGCTATGATAGTATTGGCATTATAGAATGTAAAATAAAAATATATGCTATTAAATTTGTTTTTTTTATATTTTATATGTCCCCTTTTATAAATGGGGTGAGTGGGGGCTCGAAAAATGAACCCACAGGCTACATAACTTTACCAGATATCACCCGATCAACAATTAGTGAAATTCGCTAAGAACTAAATTAATGTTTATATTGACTGATCTCAAAGTGTATTATTCATCATCACTCCTAAATAATAATTATCGTATATATACGTACCATTCTAGTGAAATTTAACAATCTGAATCGAAATCGGTCTATGTACAAAATAGTAATCTGGCTGTGGCGAAGGACTTTGGTTGAGGGGGTCATACATCATTGGACCAAATAAGGAACTTGATTTCTAGGCTAAATACATAGGATTGTAGTGATATACAGCAAAACAACCTAGTTCACTTGGGCAGGATTATTAGAGACAGATTCAAAAGAAACAGCATTTACGGTTCTAGTGATTAGCAAAAGTATCAATAATTCTATCAATGTCATTTTCAATCACAGGATGGTTAAATCCTCATTTACAGCCATTGGATTAAATACACAAATAACTGTAGTTAGTAAATGACTAAAATCTCGAAAAGTAAAGGCAAATAACACTTAGCGGAGTGAATTTTCTGGAACTGCAGTTTGAGTTTGAGAATTAAACACCTTGAATCAAACTACGGTTGGGAATTGCATCACCCCACCCAATGGTCAGCATAATTCCCAGATTTCCGGCACTTCATTTCGTGGGATGGAATAATTTTCATATTCTTCCTTTTATATCCAATAAAATTTTATTTGGCAACTGCCTGAAAAATTAGATGATCGCCCGAAAAAAATTGTTTTACCCCGACTCGGGGAGCTGCAGCTGCCCCCAGCTCCCTGGCCTCCACAGGCCAGATAAATTGGTTTTCATTCCATAACTTATGGTTGCTTGAAAAGTTGTGGTACATGTATGTTGTGCTCTTGGACCCACATATTTTTGGACTGAAAGGTAATAAAAATAACTCTGCTGAAAATGCTATCTACATAATAATATAGCAATGTTTTTTTATTTAATTTTTAATCATCTAAATTACTACATAAAATATACTATTGTTGCTATTCATCACTTAAAGCTTCAGTTGGTTGTTTTTTGGGGGTTTTTCATTGTAATATCAATAACACAGGAACCTAGTTGTAGGTTACCGAACTGGACTTGAGTGTACTAGGGGTGAATTTCAGGGTAGACCAAAGAAAAACTTCCGGAAATTTCAAACCCTGTTCCCGCTTTTCCAAGGTAGCATTGAAGAGCTTGACTTAAAAGGGTAAAATAAGACTGGTCAATCCATGTATAAATAAATGTAAACAAACCTTGACAGTTCGAATTCGATGGAGAGTATGTACAACTGTTTGTCCAAATATCTTGTAATCTCGTGACTAGCCCCAAAAATAGATCATCCACAGCAGGAAGGTTTAAAAAAACAAAAGTCTGCCACAAGTTCAAGTTTCGATTTAGTGGAACAAACAGTGGAATATGATGACCTTAACAGATTCAGCCATTAATGATTAAAATAATATATGAAACTGAAAAAAAAATGGAAAGATACAATTTTGCTTAGATAGAGAGAGACCCCTGTGTCTATTTTAAGTGGAAATTTCTGACGTCTGCTAATTCCAATTAATACAAAGTTCTTGTGGGAATTCTAGTACATGTCTCTTTCCATGTCCTTACTTTAAAGGAACAATAACACTCTTGCTGGCTTAAAAGCTCCAGAAAATAAATAATATCTCTATCTAAGTACTAGATGTTTAAGTGTCCTACCTGTTGTGTAAATTGTCCATTACATCCTATTTTACTTGTCCAGAGGGTTCGAAAATATTTTTAAATCGAAGTTCCATTTGAAAAAGTTTACGTTAGACGTTTCAAACCATTATGTTGAATTTTTCAAAAATTTTAAATAAGGTGTGTTAAGATAAAATTTGTATCATCATTTAATTGAAATATTCTAAAAAAGTACAATTTGTTGACCAGAATAAAGATTGGGACATATTATTCAGTTACAACAAGAGTGGTATTGAGCCTTTACTAATGTTGAATTCAACATCAGATTACATTCTTTTTATAGAGATGACAAGATGTCTTACAAAATACAGAAACACTTCATATTTGTCTAGATAATATTGACCTTTCCATTCTCTCATATCCTGTCTATTACGAAACTGGTTCAATAACTTGAGGTTTTACAAATTATAGTTTATAATGACAAAGCTCAAAGATAGCACAAAATACCTCTATTCCTCTAGCCCCATTACTTTAGATCAACATCTGAATGGGTTTATGCCATACTCCCTCTGTATGACCATACATATATGTCTGTGAAATATTTCAATTTTCACCATTCGGTGAATTTCAACCAAATTTGTTAGTATGTTGCTTGGGTCTTGTTATTTAGATTTGTTTGGTGAGGGCAGCTCATATGGACAAAATTAGATTTATCCCCGCATTCTTTTTGATTTTTCCTCCTAAACCCCTGGATGGATTTGAACCAGATTTACCAGTAGTAGATATGTTTCTTGGGAGCTATTTGTTTACATTTGTTCAAGTGAATTTGCTCTGTACCTTTTCTGTATATTTTCTTATTACCAATAATTCTAAGTACCAATGCAAATATGTTTAAATTGAAGTTGTGGGGGCCCAAGAATGGACATTTTCTCATAGTCTGAGCAATTGGTGTCAAGTATATGTGTAAACTGAAGTTGTGGAGGCCCAGAAACGGACCTTTCCTCATAGTCAGAGCAATTGATTTCTTGTTTTAATTTTGTAATAGCTTGACACATTTATGAGCTCATAAAGCAAGCCCAATTTTGTTAAGGTCACTAAATGTCTTGTTTTCAACTTGTAAATTTCATAGAAAATATTGCCGCCTAAATAATTTTGATAATAACACTGAAATTATACATGTTCTTCCTGTTAATGTCATAACAATTTCAGATTTGAATAGGTTTTTACAATGTTTTATAATTGTATTCTTTAAAACACGTATTTCATTGCTATTAATATAAAACCGGTAAATGTCATGAACTTAAAACTCTTCTAGCTGACCGCAATATCATAATTTCTCAATCAGTATTAAATGAAATAATGTTTGTATAATGTATAAAAATTAGTATAAAACAAATGTATATAAAGGCTTTGTTACTGAATACATTAGCACCGTGTTATTATCTGTATAATAAATGCTATAACCATTAGATTACTGTAATGAGACGGGTAATAGGCTCCTAACTTTGTCTAATGAAATGATATAAAACACAACCATGGTGTTGGCTTCTTTCTTATTGACGTCATGATGCTGATATAATTTCCGTGGATTCGTAACAGATTCTTTTTTTTAGTTCAAACTTAAATGGTCAGTTTTACTCTATAGTTTCCACTGAGGAAAAAAAGGTCTGAGAATTTCCACCGACAACTGTTAGCTTCAATGAAACGTAAACAACAAACAAAACGGTTTGGTAATTTTGTTATACCGAGAATGAAGCAAGGTAAATTCCCAGTGCTGCATTCTTTTCAACGCACATGGAGCTCACTTTAAAAGCTAATTCTGCCAATCTTCCCCATTCAGTAGCCACGAACAACCTACTTTTTACTTTTTTATTTTCAAGCCTAGATGATTTTCAAATTTAAGCTAAACTGAGTCAAACAAACTGTAAAGAAAAAAAAAATGCAAAACTATATAGAGATATATGCAACAGTGTATCCATTTCATCCAATTTCATCACTCTATCTTTTCTTTCATTTACAAAACAATTAGTATTGATGGATTGACAAAAAATGATACTTACCAGTTACACAGTGAAAATATCCAGTAACAACACAAGACAAAATAGAAAATTAATTATCGTTAACTGTGAAATATAAAACTGTTAAGATAAATAAAACAATATTAATTGCTCTGTAAACGAAATCAAATGAAATAAAATGGGGTTTGATGCAGTGATGGGATTTCAAAATTTTAGTTGTTGGACATTTTCTTCCCGAAAATAAAGGGACATAACTCTTATCGTTATTTAAGCTGCCGTTTTCAAACCACAATTAAGAATCACGTGTCAACAAAATATTCAAATTCATACGTAATAAAAAAAATAGGTGCACCTCGTTATTTTTCATATTTAATTCCCGTACGATATTCAAATTTATGTCAATAATATTCCTACAAAATTTGATGTCTTATTTTTCTGCACCAACCATGTTAAAATGAAGAAGGGCTGTAGGAAGACCTACTCTTAATTTGATTTCCAACTGTCAGGGGATCTTTAGTGTCCTACCAGTTGTATACATAGGGCCTTGGTTTTTCATCCCATCTGAATGACTAGATACTTTATCCTGTCAGCCCACATCCTGCACCATTGACAAGATGAAACTAGACTGGAAAATTCCAAGGAAATTCCGCAGCCAATGCCGAGATCGAACTTGGGACCCCCTAGATAGTGAAACAGCGCCATACCCACTGATCCGCCATGCCTCCAGCACTGTAAACATTAGAGATATATATATATTGTATGGTAAGATCATGTCAAAAGACAATTAAGATAAGTCATTAGACGGGTTAATGGCACCAATAATATGTTATTTTGTTCTATTAGTTCTTTATATAGTTTAGTATGAGACCAATGATCATGTTTATGTCTTTAGTCTCTATAGAGACATATAATTGTACCTATAGTGACTGCATGATGGTAAATGAAATTTACTAACAATGTCACTATCCCATTGTTAACTCTCTTGGTGATCAACCAGATCAAATATAGTTCACCACATCATTGGAAATTTGTTTATTAGATATATAATATATCTCATGTCTTTCGAAATCATATTTATTTATATACAAACTTTTAAACATAAATATACAAGAGCTAAATCTGCCTATTGCAGGTCTTTCTTTAGGCCTGATATGTTTTCTAAATTATTAATTAGACATTAATTAAACAGAGTGATAAGCCATTTGATTGGTTGAGACTTTGGATCATGATAACTTCAATTTGTTC